CTTACACATGACTCGCATATTCTTTATGTATTCGACAACAACTCAACAATCTACCATCTTTCTAAACGGTCTTTGCTCGCTCTTTTAAAAGTGCACATAAGCCTTGTTCTAGAATTACCGTTATACAATATCACTTTAGTTGTCACTAATAACTAAGAAGTTTTTATCACTAGAAACAACATATGTCCTTTTATCTTCACAACAATTAATGCTACTAAATGTAGCGTAGATCGCCTGAAGTATTCCGACTCGACAATTAAGATATAACACACAAACTGTGGTAAAAAGCATGACAATATATCAAACGCATTGTCGGAAAACAAAAATGACATCTTTTTACTTGACGTTTTGTATGTTTCTACATACATCTTTAGAAGTGACCGTTGAGAATACAAGTAACAACTAAATTCAAATTTAAGATAAGTAACTAATTGATATTTGGGGAACAATAAAAATGACAGAAAAAAAAATGCATATTAAAAACATGCAAACTAATAAAGATAAAGCTTTCCGATGCTAACATTATCATTTAGGGTAGGCTTCAAACCCCTAATTAGCAGAGTCTCCTTTAACTTACAATGTGTATCTGACCGTCCTCTTGCTAATATGTGAAAGTGGTCCCATTTCAAGTTACGACCAGTTGACGTGACGTGGTCTGCAACAGCAGATGCTTGACAGCTACTCGTAATCGCTTTGAAATGTCAGTTCGGTTTTTCTGTCATGCAATCTGCGTTTTGTTTTTCCAATGTAGAAATTTTGGCAGTCCCAACAAGTAGCCTTACATAATACACTTTTGACATTTCAGGAAGGTTTGATCCTGTTCTTGTGGGAGAAAACAGACTTGATGCGATGAGTGCTTTGGAAAATAACCCTAAGGTCAATGCAACCATAAAATTTAAATTTAGTTGCTTTTTCTAGTCGCAACGGTCACTTCTGGAGATCTATGTTGAAGCATGCAAAACGTCAAGTAAAAAGATATAATTTTTGTTTCCCACAATGCGTTTTACTGTCGTGTTTATCCAGGACTACAAAACTCCGGACTGTCCGAAGTGTGACATGCCTTTTACCCTGGTCCCAGAGGTTTTTCTTGATTTTTCTCCGCATGAGAGAGCTGCGAGAGAGCCGCGAAGAGCCGCGAAGCCGCTTCTTGACTCGTGTTCGCCGCTTCGCGAAAAGAAGAAAAATCAAGAAAAACNCCCCCCCCCGGGTTCTTGACTCGTGTTCGCCGCTTCGCGAAAAGAAGAAAAATCAAGAAAAACCTCTGGGACCAAGGTACGTGCCTTTCGGTTAAAAGCTATTTTCTCAAATGTGGGACCTGATCAAGGTTTGAGTCTATGATATCTCAAAAGTACTAACATTAATGTGAAAACTTGTAGAATAATGGGTACTCTCTATTGCGCACCGCACAAGGCTCCACGAATTTAACAAGTATTCTTCATTTTGATGGTAAACAGAGATAACGGCAGTCCCGCCTATCACCAATGTTTGAACCGTGAGCACTTGGAAATCAAATGACCAACGCTAAACGTCAAACTGTGGACTGCAAAAAAGATTTTCCTCGGTTTAACCTATATTTCAGGGAATAATCTACCTACATTCAGCAGTTTAGATCGTAAAAGTAATGCGTGTTTTCTTTCATCCATGATATGCCGGAAAATTACTGTAGCCGGATGAGTTTGTGTTGCGATGGACGACCGAATGCCACATTCAACTGCTTTTTTTAAATATACATATTTTCTAAGGGAAATAATTGTTTCTTACCTGAGGGGAGAAAATGGTATCAGCCTCTCCGTAAAAGCTTTCCTTTACGTTTGTATAATTCTTTCATTTTCTAAGATGCGGTAACGCAATGTTTGTTTTCGAAAGCTCATTTGCTCGTTTTGTTTTTTCTCTCTCTCTCTTCTTTAATTTTTTAATTAAAACTAACCAGGTTGACTCATCTGTCAGATGGTCAGGCTTAATTATTATTGGAAAGGGTGACTTAAGCGCAACGGAATCAACTCTAATGGCATAAAATTCTAATCATTTTTGTCCCTTAAAGGCTCGGGAAATTATATGAATTTTGACAAAACGCGCGTGAAATTATTTCCTAATTTCACTCGTCACCACTTGATTACCCAACCTCCTATCTTAAAAAGGTGTCCCAAAATGCACCAGGTGGTACGGAGCTCTCTACGGCTCGCAACGGAGAGTACCATTATTCTACAAGCTTTTACATTGATGTGAGTACTTTTGAGATATCAAAGACTCGATCCTTGATCAGGTCCAACATTTGCGAAAATATCTTTGAACTATAGATATGTCACGTATCCCACGTTCCGGTGTTTGGCAGGAGGTATTTTAGAAAATTATAACTCCTTCAAACTTAGACGGAACACAATGATTTTTAACCCTCAAGAATATTGAAGAAAAATGACACTTTCTGCATGTAAAACAATCAGTTTGTTGGAATGAAAAAATTGCGTTTTGGCAGCGTCCGACATTTACAGCAAAATTTCAGAGTCTTCTAAAGTAAATAAGCCAGTTTTGAGGTCACCTCGAAAAGTGACCCGCAAAAAAAGAAAAAAACCGAATTGATCCAAATAAAAGTGATATTTGTACATTGCTGATATAATTGTTAACCGCTTTCACTGAAAAAATGAAGCCAATCGGTAAGGAAAGATCCGAAGTTTGCCTTATCCGTTCTTAGGCGGACAGCCTCTTAAAGAACAATGTCAAACTAACCTATTCATCATTATCTGAATTTCGATGTCGCTATATGTTTCCCAGTATTTACTTTTTTTCCTCCATGGTCTTTGTTATTCCTTTAGTCTTTTCTGCTTTACTCAAGTAATGTTTGGAGGACTGCAGCGGTTCAAATATAGTATCACAACAGAGAAACACCTAACAAAAACTATAAGTAGGTTTATGCAAAATAATTGCACTTCTGTGTATCCGTATCGTAAATTAGTTCCGCACTTTACTTAGAATAGCAAACTTATAGTTATCTCAGGAAGTGCATAGCTGAAATGTGTTTTGTTGTTTGGACAGAAGGTCTTTAATCTTTAATCTTTAATCCTTATTTATACACTGTAAAAATTCAGGTACAGTAAATTCCAATAAAATGTCTAAGATCCTAAACCTAAATTTCTAATCGTGTACTAATATTATATTGACGTTTGGACTGGACAGCTGTTAAAATCTAAAGCAAATGTAATAAACGGATAATGTATGGAATAATTACAAATTCATAGATGAAAGGAAGTTCTCTCTAAGTGTTAAAATTACTTACAGAGAGTATTCTCTCACGTGTCCAGCAACCATGCAAATTTATATGGTTTAAGTATGAAAAGAGTTGAACTCCCACAGGATGGGTTTAGTACACCAACATGGCCACCGTTTCATTGTTTTGGAACACCAATATGGCTGCCATGACGTCATGTGCATATGCTCTATAGTATCTCGTTTAATGTCGGTAATTTATTCACATTACCTGTTCTGAGATAGGAAGTAGCTTATTTCCAATTAACACCATTCCCCGATTATGGCTCCTGATATATCTTATTAGATGTTTTGGTGTGTGGTATCGCTGTATATTTTTACGAGTTGTGCCGTATTTTGACGAGCAAAAATACAAACAACGAGTAAAAATATAAAGCGATACTACAAACCAAAACATCCAATAGAAGATTTATTATCCGACTGCTGTAGTCAATAAAT